ATTAAAGAGCACCGGCCCCAGGATGGATCCTGCAGGACTCCACTAGTGACCGGTCGCCAGCCCAATGTAACCCCATTGACTAGAACCCTTTGAGCCCGACCCGTCAGCCAATTCACGTAACCTCCACAAATACCTCCCGCACTGCTGCTAATGAGCTGATCTGTGGTGATGGCAACCTCAGTGAAACACTTTCAGGTACAAGAAGAGTGGCACACTAAGATGTTTACATGAAGACAAGGCAGCTCACCCTACACCTTCACTAGATGAGTGGAAAAAGTCATTTTGTATTCCCCACACTGCTAAAGGCAATAATGCATTTAGGATGCTCATGCTGGCTCCAAACAAGCTCGGATGCCCACAAGGCATGGAGCAGCACTGAGAAGATGCACCATCCTGGAGTCTGGAAGCTGCACACCAGTATTCTCAAAGAACCTGTGTGAGCTGATCAGCTTCAGTGCAGCATCATGCTAACACATTATACTGCTTGCACTCAGAGGCTGTGGGGAAGGCAAACCCAGGGCATTCTGCTTGATACCACACTGCTGTATGATATGCATGTGCTGGTTGGTGGACTCAGAATGGAAATCTGAATAGTCAAAGTAGCAGTAATTTCTCTGCCTTCTGTCTTTTCTGTACTTCTCAACCCTGAGTTGGATTGCTTAGGATGGAAGTGGAGTTAGCCGTCTCTCTAGCTCATGGATCCAGGTCTCTGTGCTGAGGAAGACCATAAAAGAAGGCATTCCCACAGTGCACTACATAGAGAAAATGCCTGTCTGTTGCTGTCCTCTGTCCTCAGAGGAGCGCTCCAGAACAATGTATGCCAAACACAATCTCTTAATAAAATGGTAAAACGTTAGTTAGAAATTTTCACCTCAGAAATCAAAGTTTACAAAATATTAAGCCAACCAGTAGTTGCATGCATTTAGTGTGAAAGTCAGAAGCAGTTAGAAAACAAGCAAACCAACCAAAGCAAGTATACCTACAAATATAGATATTAAAGAAAAAAAAAAGGCATAAAGAAAAAGCAGCCATCTACACACACATCTCAGGCTGGGGACCCTGTACCTTCAAAGGCTCAGTATAAAAGAGTGAAAGAAGCAGAAAGCAGCTCATGGGACTTCAGTTCCCCTCAGGTCTGGTGGCAGTAATGAAAAATCTGAATGGAAAATGGAGCGATATCACAGTAAGTCACCTAACATGCAGGAGGCAGCAACACATTACAATCTGGGCTGGGGCCTGCACTCAGTAAGCACTTTGCATTTGCCTGGGGGTTTGAATGTATGTCATTCGGCAGTCAGCTAATGTACAGCTAGGGCAGCTCCAAAGAGGAGCTGTGCGCCTCCTGCCAGGGCACAGTTGAGTTGCTGGCCCATCAGGACTGCTAAAAATTAATAAATTATTAAATCTTTAATCTTCCCTATAAGCCAGTTAACTAATGGGATTGAAGCTTTAATAACTGAGCAGCTCCATCGCTAGTTCTTGCCCCAGTTATTGGTTCAGGTCCTGAGGCAGAAAAAGGTTGTTTTCAGTTAGCCCTGGAGACCTAGCATCCACTTAAATTGCTGATGAGAGCACAGGACCTGCTGAGCAGGTTTCCAAATTCTGGAATGGGCGCAGGGTGAAGAGGATGGGATTGGCAAGAGGCATGGCTGCTCCTGCAGCAGGCCACAACCCTCCTTGTATTGTGGTTTGCCATTTCCTCAATTTGGAGTTCTTTGGGTTAAGCAGACAGCACGGAGCGGTCCCTTAGGGGCACCTGGCAAACAGCAGGCCTTATCACCAGGCTGGCATGAGTTCTGAGACTACAGTCTCCCTGGACAAGTACCAGCTGGATGGAGCTTGCAGCCTGGTCTTAAGAGTTTTGAACTATTCACAAAGCAGGATCCTAGCAGAAAAGTCATGACTACACAAATTATGTCAAACAGGCAAGTCTACTGCACTGCTGTGGGACATAGCCCCAGTTCCTTGGAAACAAGACAGTATAATGCGATTTACATGAAACAGGGCAGAGAACAAAAAGCTTGAACTAAAGAGCTGTTCCCTAGAACCTGCTGCCTGCATTTGCCCTCTGAAAGCCAGCATCAGCATGGTATCTGCATCAACGCAGTGACCATCAGCACTGCTTTGTACAAAAAAGATGGACTCTTCCTGGAGTCAAGTTAGCCCTCAAGCTGGGCAACACACGGACTGTGTGTCAAACAGAAAAGGCCTAGTGAGAGAAAGAAGTTGTGGCTGAGGGAAACGGAGATTTTATGTCTGTTTGTAACGTGAAGAATGCAGCCTTGAAATTTGGATTTTATTGTTCCAAAGCCTACAATCTGAAATTAATAGTGATCTTGTGGAAAGGCTGCAGCCCAGCCAGGCTATGGCACGGGAGGAAAGGATGGACCTCTTTCTTCTATTCAAAGGATTCCATGGAAATTGCCGTTTTGGAGGAAGATTGTGCAAAGGCGAACCGTGACTATTTGGTTCCTCTGAGGACAAATGTCCCGATGCCAGGCAAAGAGACTTTGGAGTAAAGAGGAAGCAGAGGAAGAACGACTGAAGTTATGGAAATGGCCAAAGCAGAGGAAAGAGAAATAAAACATAGAGGTGGTTTGGGAAACAGGAGAATGACCAGGAAGAAGCAAGGAATGGAGAAGTGTGAGTGTTTGGGAAAGCTCAAGGCCTGCTAGGAATGGACTTTGTGGCTGGAGCACAAAAGTGCAATGCAGCCAGCTCTCAGATGATTCAGCCTAGGAAAAGACTAGTGACCTAGTAGGGGCTGAGTGTGGAAGGCAGGAGGGTAGCTCAAAGGGTACAGACTGTAATTTCCTGGAGTAGTCTGATTTGATTGTGGTACCTCTGGAGGCGCACTGCCTGGCCAGGATCATGGCCACTAGTCACTGAAAGGGTACCAACTCTGTCAGAGTAGACATTCATTCATCTTTTGATGTCAGCTTTACCAAATGCTTTCTCCACCACTGGGGTGTGAAACTGGAGGGAAGGTGCAGCTCAAGTCTGTTTGAAAGGACATTTACATCACTTCTCCAGCAAGACTACAGATGGCATGTTCAAAGGAATTGCATCACTGGATGCATTGGGCCTCCCTGCAAATGCCCTGGGGCGGACAGGGGTCTGGCATGTTCCTCGGTGGAGAGGAGCAATGGGCAGGGCAGGGAGCGGGGAGGGGATCATTAGCAGTAAAGTCTCACCTTCTGTGCCCCTGAGAAGGCGTGGTAGTAACATGAGACATAGGTCATTATGGCCTTCTCATCCGGCCTTAGCGTGCCTATAATATCTGTGCAGAGAAGGAAAAGAGGTTGAAAGGATAAAGTAAGAAGCAGCACATAGAATAAAACAAAACAGTCATGGGTGGCGTGAGAGAGGGGGAGAAAACTTCCCATCATGCATTGCAGGACAGGCCAAACAGATTTCCATGCGGAGAGCTGGGAATTCGGATCAGAAAGTGGCTAGCAGCGTTGGCTTGTGGCTCAAAGCGGCACCCCTTCCTCCCACCCCCCAACTCAGGGGGATCCCGAGCTGAGGATCCGGGCTCTGCACCTTCACAGCTGTGGTCCATTCCCCAGGGATGCAAACAGGCTGTTTGGAAGGTTGAACACCCGTGCTCAAGGCCCTTCTGCAGCCAAGGAGCTAGAGATCAGAGCCTTCCTACGCAGTGCACTTCCTACACAGTATCTGCTCTGCTGCAACACGCACTGCCTGTTCTGTTCCTACGACACCGAAGTACAGGCAGCTGCTTGGTTTTGGAAAGAGATGTTTACAAGGTTTCACACACAAAATGTTTTCCTGAAGTGACTCCATTACCAACAGGAAAATGGCTAAGCCAGACCCAGCAAGGGCTCAACTGCCTCATTTCCAGCATGGTGGATGAGAAAAGAGTAAAAAAAAGAAACAAATTAACAAAACCAGGCGTCTCAGTCATGATAAGCAATGCTCTGTTTGCAGAATCACCACAGACATACTCATTAGACATGCTTTGTAAGCCCCAGGTGAACTAAGGCTGAATTTGTGGCACAACTTGAGAAAGCAGCAGGTTCAGACCTTGAAGCAAGGGTGTGGGAACCTACAGCATGCATAAGGCAAAAGATAAAGCTTTGGGTACTCATTGAATCCTTCATAAAACCACTAGGGATCAGGGGGTGCAGGTCCTCGGCCATCAGGGCAGCAGTTCAGAAGGCAAATGGAGAAGGCAGAGCTCCCCACTCCCCTGGATTTGTGTGTGTGCTCAGGTGCTTGCATAGCCCTGACTATCGGGAAATGGGACTCCTGGCTCCCTTGCCCCACTTATTCTGTCTGGTGCACCACTTTGAACCAACAGCCAACTCTACCAATAACATAATAATAAAGATGCCCGTAGCTAGAGAGAAGAGAGAGAAAGAAAAAAAGGTTTGGACATTAGCAACGGCACCAGGTGTGCTCTGTGGAGGGAGCTTGGGATCCTGTGATACCTTCTGGGCTCCTGAGAAGGCGTGGTAGAAGCTAGAAACATAGGTCATGATGGCTTTCTCGTCAGGACGGGCAGTTCCAACAATGTCTGTCAAAAAAAACCTCAAGTTAAGAGCATAATCAACTGATGGGAGGAAAGCAAAGGAGAGGGAGAACCACAACTGTCCAGGAGGCCTGCTGGGGTATATTCTTGCCATAGCAACTCCACAGGGCTTCCCAGCATTCCCCAGAAGATGTGCCTCTCTCAGAAGCCAGGATCACCCTCCTGGTTCCCCTCCCTCATGATAAAATTGCTTCAAGAGTCTGGCCAGGCTAATGCAGCCATGTCAGCATGTCTCATGTCACAGCACATCCCTGTCCTCAGAAAATTACTGTGAATGGTGGGTTGAATCAATCCAAACTGGCAGCAGGTTGACATTGCTTTTATAGATGTATTATACTGCAAGTCCTCTGTGCAGTTCTTCAGGAATGGTCCTTTCTCCCTTCCTTTCCATATCTCCATCCTCCATTTCAAAACAATGATGGATTGAATTTCAAAAGGCCTTTTCATTAGTTTCAGGGGATACTCAACACCTCCAGAGATCAGAATTAATGGTGTGGAAGAATGCACATTAGCTCCACTCCATGAGCAAGGAGCGGGATCAGGAAAGAGCAATGGGAACTCCTGCAAGGGGCCCTCTTCATCATGCTAGCTTTGGAGATCTGAACCTTGATCCACTTTGGAGGTGTCTTTATTTCCTACAGAATGGCAGGAAGCACTTGAATCTAACCCAGAAGCCTCATGATGTTTTGTGACCTCAGCATGATGAATGCAGGAAAATCAAGGCTCATTCCTGGGGATCGGAAACACTTCCTAAGAATATGAACATCTTAGTTACCCAAATACAGGCTCACTGGGTTCAGCTGTCCTATCCCCACCTTTCTCCCTTGTTCCTCTCACTCCCTTAGTTAACAAAAGCCTTTAATTGATTCTCCTGTCCAAACCAAGCCTGAAAAACAGCTTCTACCATTGAAACCAGCTGGCTTCAGGCAAACAGCCAACAAAGTGAACTATTTCAGGCTGTTGTTTGTACTCCAGAGTTACAGCCTTCAAAGTCTATTGCCAAGCTGGTCCTGACAAGGCTCTGAAAAGTAATCCTAGCTGTCCCAGTGGCCTTAAAAGCACGCTGAACAACGTGGATCTCTGCCTTGGCGTCCAGACCCAGTCAGTGAAGGGTCTTCATGCCCAACACTTCTCAGTAGTCAAGAAGCAGCAATTTATAATACTAATATCATGCCCCCAAAAGAAGATTGCCAGCTATGTCAGAAAGTGCTCAGAAAAAAAATTCTGGAGCAAAAGGAACATAGTCCTATACCACACATTAACTCAGTATTAAGCCCACTTCTTAAAAGGGAACACTTCAGTCAGCAGTGGACACAGTCAAGTGTTACTCATCTCTGCCTTGTGTGTCAAGCCCAGATCTCCACACCAGACTCAGAAGACTGAGGGGGACAGGAGGAAGAGGGAAGCAGAACATGTGATTCATTATTCCATTGTAACTTTTTCCCTATACATTTTAGCATGTGGTGATGGAAGGAGCATTCAGAGGTTACTGAATTCTTGTACAATACAAATCCACCTAGAAGTGGTAAATTTCTTGAGAAAAAGCGAGTTAAAAGCCACTGGGTTCTACTTTACCTTCTGCATCCAGCATCTTCGGAATATCCAGATATTTCTCAGCCACATCAAAAGCTGTGTTTAGATTAGTGAGAGGATCATCCTGGGAAAGAAACAGAGCCAGAGCATCAGCATCAACTTGTAACAAGGTACACAGCATTTCTCTCAATAGAGCTACTGTGCTTGGTTTGGTTCAGGTAACTGTGCTGTCCATACAAAATTATGTGTGAATCCTTATGCAGCAGGACAAAATAATTAGCTTCCTTTTGAAAGCAGAGCCTGGAAACTCATGATATGATAATTAACATATAATCTATGCACTTGCAACAAGAAGGAATAATATATTTTGTCTTGAACTTAGTTTAAAGTAAAATTAGCTTCACATCATACTGATAGTAAATGGCTATATCTCACATTTACATCTCACGCTTATATTAGGTTTGCAACTTCCATTTTAAAGAACTGCAGAGCAATGTATCTGTTAGAACATCTAAGCAATACTAAAATAGTAACAACATCTGCAATGGGTGCTGTCCTTAGCTAGTGTACAGTTTGCTGAACACCAGTTGAGTGGGAGGAAGAGAAATGTTTTAAAAAATCTCTACAAAATAAATATATATGAAAGTACCCATTTTGTCTGAGTATTGCTTTTTCTCCTAGGCACTGCACAGGGTTTGTAATTTCCTTAGTACATTTCTATTCCTCTATAGATAAACTTTCTGCTGTGGCAGGATGCACTTCAGATACAGACATCAATACACAGTAATCAAATCCTAAACAAAGTTAAATGTGACTTATCACATCATGAGTCATATCACAAAGGTAACCAGATTTTAAGGAGCCATACAAGACAAGAGAATATGAAACACAGATGTCACTGGAAATGAAAGAACTCTGCAAATTGTTTCCAGCATTCACATATAATGATCACCAGCAAGACACCTACCAACCTGAGACCCTCATACAAGCCTGATTCCTATATTCCTGTATATCCATGATACTTAGCTATTCTGAAGGACCAATCCACTTCATGGATGACAAATGACATTCGCGCTATCAGTTTCTACTGTTGAGACAGGTGGTTTCTGCTGGAGGAAAGGTTGTGCATAAACTGCTAGTGTTTAGTCACCATGTTTGCTAAGTTTCTTTCGGGAGAAAGGAAGGATGGGGTGGTACTCTCCACATTGTCATTTGTACACTTGCACTAAGACCCACCTTCAAAATTAGGAAGTAAGGACTATCCTTGTTCTGTTTCTTTTCTATTTGAGATCATGTGCCTTTGCTTATTGCATTGACTTGGAAGATTAAGCTGTGCCTGAGCTCTAATCAACAGGCAGTTTCTTTTGAATCCACCCAGCATGAAAGATAAAGCCAGGCAGGCTTGGGCAGACAGGGTATGGACATGCAGAAAGTTCCTTTGTGGCACTGGTCCTTGGATTACAGCTTTCATGAAACCAGGAAACTGAGCTATTCTGAAGAGCAGTTTCCTGCAGCATTTCCTTAGGAATTAATGCATATATTAGGTTCACATCCTATATCAGTATCATATTCCTTTGGGTGAATGTCTCCAGTAGACAGCAATGTTTCACCTACCAAAGTAAATCACACACAGAGGCCATCAAAATGGACACAACCAGTAATCCCTATTTAGTCCACTGGGACAAGCCAATATTAAGTGAGGAAATCTTGCACAGACATGCTGTGATGAAACCAGCAGCTGTCACACATGGTAACAGGCCCCATCTCAGTGTCAAATAGTACTTTACCTCTATATAATGCACTTTCAATGGTGACTACATCAGGTATATCTATAGCCATCCCTTCAGAGTTTAACAGCAGTGCAGGCAGGGGACTTTTACTATCCCCCAGCCACAAAGAACCACCATATGCCATGGAATTAGAGGTTGGTACTATTTCAACTTCAGCCTACTTGTCTCCTGTGCCTGCTGTGGAGAAAACTCTATTAACTCAAAGTGTAACCAAAAGCATTATTTGACGAGGTAAGACTAGCTGGTATATAATATACCTTGTTCACTGTGTGTAGACAGGGCCTTAGCTCCATTTAGGAAGGAAAAGTAACAGCCTTTCTCTCACTCAAGTACAGGAGCATTGAGAAATGCCAACTGGCAGCTCCCTTGCCAGTCTTCCCCTAGCCCATGTGCTGTTTTCTACTTCTGTAGAAATGTCACCATTGTGCACCAAATTTCAGCCTATACCGACCATGACCACCATGGCACTGCTAACACCTTGACAGAGTGTTTAATATTAACACTTAATATTCTTCCTTAGTACAGACCCATCTGAATGAGCTGCCTGAAGATCTGCCAGCCTCTCCTGGATGAAAGGAAGGAGCAAACTCACTGCAGATAGCTTTCCTATCAGTTTGCAAGTAACAACACCAGCAGCAATGTTGCCAAAGGTTAAAAAGAAATTTTAAACTGGAAGCTGGGAGAGGTTTCCTGATAGGAAAACTTACTGGGCTTGGGCACTCCCAAAGGAAGGGATGGAAGTCTTAACATGCACGAAACTGGAGACTCATCTAGATGAAGAAGTCTGCTGGCTTCATATGTAAGAAAGATGTGCGATCACATAGTGTCTTGGGGAATGAAACTAAAGATAGTGCTACTGAAAGCAAGCTACTTTTAAGTCCAAGACTAGATCTGAGATGAGCTGAAAGCTAAACCTGAGCAGATCACACCTGGCATGTTCTCTACTTTTGCTGACTAAAGACTGCCATGGCTCCTCCTCTTGCACCACAACCCTAACTCACACAGGGAATCTTCTCTCCTCCTCCAGCTATTTCCAAGCCCTTGCAGCACACAAGGTTGCCATGGCAATTATTGCAGTGTGACATAAAAAAATAAATAAATCTTCTATTAACTAGCAATCAGGAAAGGAGATGGAGGGGGAGGAAAATCAAGAGAGAGTAAGCACTTACTATATCTGCCAGAGCTGAATACACTAGGAAAGAAATGCAATTGGTACAACTCATGTTTTCAGGAGCATCTGTAATAAGTGCATCCAAGACAGACCATGTTTCTATATGGATTGTGGTACATGAGGGAGTGTCTGAGCCATCAGTCAACTTCATACTTGATAAAAAAGATGTTAGATGTGGCTCATAGTTGAGCTACAGTTGGGGGTAAAAGGAGGAAGGGAAACTCCATCTCCTGCTTATCCCTCACATGCAGACCATGAGCTGAGTCTCAAGATGTTATCTACAGCAAGATGAACAACAGCAGACAGACCTGCACTGAATAGAAACCATCTAACCAAATAAGTAGCTGTGGTGTCAGGGAATCACTGACACTGAGCTAGGTGGACTTGCATTTTTATTTTAGGGTCTGGACTATACAAGCAAGTTCAGCTACGCAGTATGCGTAGGCAGAAGAGAATTGTGCTTGCTCCGCTAATATAGCTAGACTAGGAAAAATAACTAGGAACATAAACTCAATACAAAACTGTGCTGCCAAAAGAAGTTGCTAACTTTTGGGAAGAAGACATGCAGCTACCTTTTGCTGGCATACACTGCCAATACATGGTCTGTAGCATAGACGCAGCCTTTGTGAAGGAGCAGAAAGCACTAAACTGCACAAGAATGCTGCCCAAACAAGAGGTACAATGCAGACCTCTTGGACTGAAGTTCACCTCTCTATCTTATACATATGTGTGTACACACAGCAAGACACAAAATCGCCAAAGGAACACACAACTGAGATGCCATTACTCACTCCCTAGAGCTGGAAGAGAACTGGAGTTGGACCTCTAATCTACTATCCACTGTGATGGCTGCTTCTCAGCAGCCTTTCTCTTGTCTTCCTCTGCAAGACAAGTCCCCTGCAGAGCCAGGGATGATTCAAAATGCTGGGGTTGGTATGTTTGCTTTTTTTTGTGGGAAGGGGGAGAGGGGCAGTAGGCTCCAAGGAAAAGGGCAAGAATCAATCAAATTTAGCCAAAAGAAGGAGAAAGAAGCAATAAAAGAGGAATTAAGTGACAGAAATAGTCCAGGCAAATACTGTGTTTAGGAAGATGACATGCTGATACATTCTACAAATAGGTTTCAAAGATTTAACATGAAAAAGGCAACTTCTTTTCAGGACATGTCAACTGCCAGAGCTAAAGGTTAGGCTCTGAGCTAAGTTCTTCCCAGCTATTTGCTCAAGATTGCAGCTGTGGTAGAGTTCTCAAGCATGCATTTAATTTCATGCCTTTAGAGTAACAGAGGCAGAGCAACAGTAAAAATGATACAGAGTCTGCAGGAGGGCAGAGGGAACCTGATGAAGGGTGGGATCAAAGGCAAGTGGAGAACAAATGATGCTGGCTCCCTTTAACTTCACTCCAAGGAGGACAAATCCCTTTCCATCTACATTGATTTTGGCTAGGACAATTATCCTCTCTTTCACCTTAAAAAAGCCTGCAGGAAATATGACCAAATAACTAACTTTCACTCACTCTCATTTGGCTTGGGTTTGGCTTAGGACTTTGTTCATAACAGAGAGTGCTGTAGCATTTACCCAGCTGGATCTGTCAGATGCACATTGCTTAGCTGCTTTTATTTTCCCAAGATCAGGCACTGAAAATTTAGCTCTAATAATTCATTTTTAAAATTGCTGCTGTTTATGTAAACAAGTACAGTCTCCCCCCACTGTTTATTCATCATGTGCTGACTCCAGACACTAAAACTGATCAGATAATATAATTGACTCCTCTGCAAGACAGCGAAGATCTAAAAGGTTACTGAAAAGCAGATCAGGCATTGTACAATTCATTGCCTCAAGGATGCAGCTAATTTGATTACCTCGTTTACATATTGTCTATTTGCACAGTGATCCAAGAGCCCAGGTCTATTAGTGACGAGCTTCTACGTTTATTTCCCTGGCTAACATTGAGCACGTATGCACTTTATAACACTCAGTCCATGAGATCAGGTGGTCAAGCTTTTTGTGGATTAGCCCCAGTAACAATGCATGAATTATGCTCTTGGTGCATTTCACTCCATTTCACTCCATATGTGCACAGATACAGTGAAACCAGATCTCATCAGACTGAAGGAATGCCAGTAGGATGAAAACCCAGCTTGGTGTTCCATCGCCCTGCTGGGTCAAAACACCACTGGCAGCACAAACCATTGAATGCTTATTCTCATCATCCACTTAGCAATCTTGTCTCCAAGACACACAGGAAGCAAACTTTGCAGCAGCTAGATATCACGTTACCAGTGGCAATTTTTAAAATAAAACTGAGAGTTATGGCAAATGCTTTTCTGGCACCTGACACCTACATGCTAGGACAAGCCCAGTACTGCAGATGGCTCAGTGCTAAGCTGGAAGTGTGTGACAAGGGTCCAGTGAGGGCACACAGACCCCTCAATGAGTTCAATTTCTAGCCAGCTCTCCAAGGAAATGTTAATTCTGATTTGACTCGCTAGTCTGTGACATTAGCACAGAACTAGTCTCACATTTGGTGTTACTGAATTTGCCAGCTTTTGTTCACCAGCTGGGATTGGGGCACGTTTGTCTCATATAAGGCAGTCTGAAATCAGGGAAAGTCAAGCAGGAAGCTCATTAAGTTCACGCTTCATTAAGAAGCCTGAATGTACTGATTCATCCCTCCTTCCTTCCCCACAATCCTGCAACTGCCAGTTTGTACTGAAGTTCTCCAATTATGTTTATCAAGCTAATTCTTCTGCCTTTTTACTTCCAAAGAGCCAAGCATCTGGTCTGACAAACAAATTGAGTTGTACCTTTCGTAGCTTCCCATAGTCGATGAGCTCTGGACGGTGTCTATGAATTAAAGCGCAGAAACCAAGGCCGTCCTTCCAACTGTGAGAGATCAGAAGAGAGCACAATGAACAGTGCTCAGCCAGGGAGAGATACAGTGACAGGCATGAACATGAGGGAAGGCATCAAGACAGCAAGACAACTAATTCTGGTTTAGTTTCTAGCTAACAGTGCTTCTGTGGAGGCATAGATTCCTTTCAATTCCTACAAAAATCCACTGATTAGGACGTGCCCTTTGCATTGCCACCTCCTTTTTGCTCGTTCTTTGTGCTGAACTCTGTGCATGTCCTGCGGAGCATGCAAGGACAGGTGTAGTTGGAGGTCGAAAAAAGTTGTAGATACAAGCCCTAAAGGAGGAACAAGTGCATTCCTTAGGGAAAAGGCAGATGCCGATAGCTAGCTCCACTTACTATAGTATGGCTAGCATGGATGGCACTTAAACTCTCAAAAAAGTGTTTTACATTTATATGGTTCATACAGCTCTCCAAGACATGCTGGAAAAAGCACTATTATGCAGAATCTTCACTGGAACATCTGCCAATTTGGAAATTTTAAGAGCAGAGCAAGAAAGTATCTCATCCCTTCCCAACTCTGCCATGCTACAAAGTTTCCAGTGCAGCCATTATTTCATGGCTCCTAAAGTGTTCTGAGTTTTCACAGAGCAAAGGCTGTCTTGCTCCCATGGCACATATGCTGCTCTCAGAGAACTTAATGCTCTGAAGAGCTTTACAAAAGGAGTGACTGTAATCAGAGTGAGAAATTGGGATGTAGGTACTTGGATCCTCTTATAACCTCTGCCTTTAACTTCCTAGGTGTCTCTCCGGACTACCCTGTTACTGTGTAAAATGCATCTGCATTGCTTTGGGAGGTCTGCCAGGAACATTGTTGAATATACCAAGAGACATATGAAAACAACACAGCTTGTAAAGCTAAGTTCTTGCCTGTAACTCACCTGATATGGAAGTTCTGGATGTTTACATTTTTGTAGGGGGCTGTCTTCCTCTGACACCATAACAGAAGTCCTTCTTTAGCAGATGTCTCTAGAGAAGGAAAGAAAACACACTAATTAACTCATTTTCTTAGAAAGCAAGAGTCGCTGGAGCATATGCTAGAAAAACACAACCAACTCCTCTTTGGTAAAGACTTCATTGAATTACGCGTTATTTAATTTTCCTTGTTTGGAAGGGTCTACTGGGATAGTTTTGTTACTACTATTTTCTTAATGAGGTTCTGTAATAAGGGGATAGCTTTTCAGGATTAGATAGGAGATTTTTGTAGGAATTCTAAGAGATAGGTCCATTTTCAGCACTAGTCCCTGAATCAGCCTGCAAGAAATGCAATGGATTTTAACATCAAAGTTGGCTCTCCTGCTTAGCTATACTTTTGAGCTAGTCTTAAAATTTCTTACATAAAGAGGATGTGAAAAACTCTTCTCAGTATACCTGAACCTGGGCAGAAATGTCAGTGAGATGACAGGGCAGCTTGGGAAGGATAGTTTCCTAGGATCTTCCAGTGACTCACCTAAGAACACATTCTGGACCTTTTAAGAGGCAAAGCCATTTACTTACTCCAGTTGTTCATTGTTGAATAGTATTTAGAAAGAATGAAGATTTACCTTCAACTGAGATATCCTGAATGGCAAAACGAAGGATGATGGTCCAGATCATTCCAAGAGTCATTTTAACATTGCCATCCACGATTTCTATGAAGAAAAAAGGTAGAAAGAGAAGAAATAGAAGGTCTTCAGTTGCAAGTGCAAATGCTAGTAAAACAGGAGCATTGGAGAGCATTCCCTTTTGCAGATGGGAGAGCTGTAATTTCAGCTGAAAACTGTTCTTCCCTGCCTCCCCAGATGCCCTGCTGGTATAGCACAGTCTAGCCCAGTAGTATCCAGTAATCAGACCAGTTCTCTTGTAGTATAATACTGAGCATAAAATAGACACAGAAAAAACCTAACACGTACCAAGCAGACGCTGATGTCAGTGAGGTTAGTGAGTGATCCATCCTGGGATGCAGATTTAACCAACCACACCATCCCCAATCCTTTTATTTTTTTTTTTTCTCTTTCTTTCTTTTAAATAGAGTTGACAAAGCTGCTATTATTTGTTAGAAGCAGGCAAGTATTTTTCATTTCTAGAGCTAAAAAAATCTTCTTCTGACAACCTGGTTACAAAGTCAGCCAGCCTGATCAGAAAGGCCACATGCTCTTTGGCCTTCACTTACTTGGTTCTCCACCCCTGCATTCCCCAATGCCAACCTCCTTTTCCTTTAAGGATCCTTTCAGCTGCTGCCAGTCTATTTCTAATATACTAGAATATGGACAAGAAACAAAAGTGAAAAACATTGTTGCAAAACAGGTTTGCGTGAAGCCTTCTGCTTCCTGGTGATGAAGAGAAAGAAACTCCACTGGCATTGTTAAAAAGTTTAACATAACACTACAAAGCTAAAACAATCCAATGCTTAATTAAAGAGATAGGGTGTTTGTTCCCTGTTGATATAAGTAAGGCTCAGTAATGTGAGAGCAGTTCACATATTAAAAGGTCAATAATCAGACAGTATCTTCTGCCTGTCTGTGCTTTCCAAGTGCTTTTCCCAGGCAGAACCTCCACAAGCATTGTCTGCACTTTCTCCATCACCAGCAGCTGTTATCTGAACAGGAGCAGCAAGTAAATGTTATTATGTGATTTATATTCAACTTGGGGGTGGATCAGTTGCTGGCTAAAGCTGATGAGGCATCTGCATGCACTGGAAGGAAATTTCTTGCACCAGTGAATAGGCTTCCACCCAGCTCCCATTACTGTACCAAACATTGCAAACAAAATCTGCAAAAGCTGCAGTACTCTCATCCATTTGTTTGACAACCAATTAAGGGCCTGAAAAATATTCAGTCCTTAGGAGGAAGACTGGCTGGCTACACAGAAGTAGCTTTTGAAATGCCACTACCTTTTTTAAATGTATGAACTCATTTTTAAAGATACAAAAATGATTAAGCTTACTACCCTGGCCTGGGTAGTGAGAAGCAAAATCGATGCTACAGAAACTGTTAACCCCCCCCTAGCTACTTCTGAGTTGCCCATGAGAGCACGGCCTCTGGTTACCCCACGAAGAAGAGGAGTTGCAAGGGATGAATAACTGGCAGGATAGCATTATGATCTGGAAATTGGAGACAGAGAGCAACAATGGTGACACAAAATAAAGGCTGCTCTGCATTTTGTTTATCCTAACAAAAGCCAAATAAAGCAGGGCAAGCACCCATGCCCCTGTCTTCAGAAAACATGTTGCTAAAGATGGTCCAGTCAGATTTAGGACAGACGACTGGCATTGATGTACATCTCAGCTCCTTAATTGTGAGCTGGCAGGAGACAGGAACAAATATAATACTGTGTTTCACTCACTGACATGGAGAGACCTTATTTTCCTCCTCTTTCCATTGTCAAATATATGCTTGCTCTGCCTGGTGCTTCAGTAGGTGTTTTGCTCAGATGGGACTTCTGCAATTGTTGAAATCTCTAAGCTTTATTTCTCCTTTCACTTCCACGGGTGAGAGTAGGGATCAGTTCACCCAAAGTTATCTTTATGCTGAACTGAGCCACATCTGTCTAAGAAAACAGCAACTCTCTATGCGGATTAGAGGTGCAAATAAAACAGTCTTAGGGTCACATACTTGACCCATTCAATCTGTTAAATCTCAGGAGCATCTGACACCAGTATGGAATCTATTACAGCAAAAGAAGGTTCCTGAAGTGTCAGATGACAAGGAGGTTTAAAAGCAGATGAAAAACCATTTGGAAGCTGCATCAGGCTAGAGCCTTCCTTGATCTAGATTTACACAAATCTGCTGTATGCCAGAACTGCTTTGATGCTATGCACTCTAGCTAAACAAAGATGTTTAGAATAACCTTGAATTGTTAATAGTCAAAGACAGTTGTAAAAAGAACAGCTCTTTACCCTCATTGCTTATTCTGTTTGCTTAGTCCACTCTCCATTTAACATGGATATGGAATATGTCCTGTGCTCATGCTGTGTGTAGGAAGTTCTCTTCAACTCTGGTTCTCATTCAGTGGAACACGTCTGCAGAGATTGACTTGTAAACAACAGACAGGGATCTTTATTTGATGAACTGTGAGATAAATGCCATGAAAACATTTTTTCTGGCTTTAACTCTTATTAAATAAGAGGTTTCACAAGGTTTAAGCAGACCTGAGAGTTTCTTTGGGATTCTTTCTGGAGCTATTTTTTAACCATCAAAAAACCCCCAAATAAAGCCAGGACACTGATGGCTAATGCCATCTGTCTAATGCATACAGAGAACCACAGCCGGGCTGCAGACCCTTCACATAGGACCCTGCTGACCCTGAGCAGATACTCAGAAATGAAGTAAGCCACCTCGAAGTGAGGAGTGTGCTGTCCTAGCCAGTACCATCACACTGCTGCTGGACGGTGGTTTTCTCTGGGACAAAAGCTACCTGGAAAACTCTGGAGGTCAGTCAAACCCAACTGAGGCATTTACAGCTTATTTTCTTAGTGCAGTGTTATGACTTACCGACTTAAGAAAAACTTAATGAAATACAATAAGGGCAA